TTGTAGTATACAATTCCGGTGCAGTTTTCTTTAAAATAGTAAGTTCATTGAACATTGGATAATTGCAACTCTACGGCACCGGAAGGTTGTAATTATGAAAAGGTAGTTCTATCAAATTTTCCTTATAGATTCATTTTTCGACTTATTTTTTTTGTATTATTACGATATTTTATTTGAAACGCATTTTAAAAAATACTTAGTTGGTAGGGAGCAGTGTAAACGATTCTTTTTACTAATAATATTGAAAATAACAATAATGTAATCTGTTTTAAAAATATTTTGGCAAGGAAGCACACGTGTGAATAAAATTGATATCGCAGTCGACATAGGAGCGTAAAGGGTTAAGCTCTACCGAAATTTTGTTAGTTTCTTATATTGTTGCAATATACTTAATATCATATACGTTATATAGCAAACACAAGTCTAACGGAATACAATATTGAAAGATGACATCACTACGATATAACGTTGAACGTAATGTTAAGTAACTTTCCTTTTTCCAGTGAAAAATGTGATGTCACTTAAAACTTTTTCCACGAATACTCTTCAATTTCGTTTCCACAGAAAGCTGTGCTGGTCGTGATGTATTAGGTGAAACGTGAATTTTACAATATTTTTCTCGATTCGTGGTATACCAACTTTCACTTCGCGTTACGTTATTTTCCCGTCAGATTAGTGGAAAAAAGAAAAGCAGTGCACGATTGTGTTCCGTCAACAAAACGGAAGAGAAGGGTTCGCGTCAGAGTTGCTTCACTTTTGTTATGGAGATGACCAGATGTTGTCGAGAAAAATTCGTTTCCCCTCCGCCGGGATTCGAGTTGGCTGGCATCGAAATCCGCGCCTGACGGACTATAATAAATGTTGCCAATAACATCATTCAATTGAATTTCATGTATCTAAGTCAAGTATCGACCCGCGTTGCGCGATGCACAGTGCAATACACTTTACCACCGACGATCCGCGTATCGCGCGTTTTTGTTGCACGACTCGATCGCTGTCGGCGATACCTTTCTCAATCGTTGCGTTTCACTCCCATTTTCTATTAGTACCTCGTTTAACCCTTTGCACTCGTGTGTCATGCTGGAGATGACAATGCAAATTTGTTATAAAACTCGTATGTCATGCGAGAGCTGACAACACTAATTTACTCTAAAACACGTACGTCACGTTGGAAATTGTTTAAAAAAGTACCACACATTAAAAGATTATAAAAATTCAATCTTATAATAACAATAAGTAAAATAAATATAATATAATACAAGTTTACATCCAACAACATTGAAAATATATCGAGTGCAAAGGGTTAAAATTTTAAACGATTTTCCGCGGTTAAATTTTAGCGAACCATCTTTCCCACTACTGACTGTATCGAGCTCACAAGAAGAGGTTATGATGAGTGAAACATCGATGTTGATACAATTTTTTTGATGGATCTAGATAAAAAAGAGACCGATCCGTATTCGGCCATTTTCGTCAATATTCAGTATTTAAAATGATATTTAACATTTGATTTGTACGATTTCGAGAGATACTTGCATACTGCACTACTATATCAAGAGTTCAAATGCAGTATATAATATATGAACAGAAATAGACTGTACGAACAAGAAACGAAAGTAACTTATTATATGTATAACTTGAATATTTATTTTCCTAGTATTTTCTTTGACAAACTGATGCGGGATTCGACACCGTGGTGGATTTTAATAAGAGTTTATTGAACTAATTGATTGACCAATGAAACAAATAAAATCTGATGTACGTTCACCGAAGACTTCGTTATCCTACGTTATCTTACTTTCACTTATATTCTCTTCGCTGTTCTTGATATACTGTTCTGCCGTTCAACTTCCACGCGCTTTTAAAGTTCACCCCCAATCACCCTTTCTTTCTTTCACATGCATCTCTTCTTACTTGCAGCCTGTCCCTTGCACCCATAGCTAACATTCACTCGGTCACGTACAAACTTCCCAAATCACGTGATTCTCACGATCCAGTGGCTCGGTTCTGAACGTCCTTTTCTTGCACATCTTCATCCATTGAAGATCACTCTGCCTTCAGTGACGCTGTCCCCAAATATACCGGCGCCACCCTGTCGCAGTATGACACGCCATACACTTAACTATTTTAGAACTAAACCTTAATGTTACGTTTCGACCGATCGACAGACCCTAGAATTGCGAGTGGTAGTTAAATTAACAAGAGTGCTTCTATTGAGACTTTAATTTATTAGCAAGTCAGTTTTCGCATTGCTAAATCAATTTCTTTAATCATTTCTCAGAGAAACACCTGTTATCTTTTTAATAATTGCAAAAAGAAGAAATCAGGAATGTGTCATTTTGATAGTTTCGCGCGGTGCCGTCCCAAAAGGCTGACACCCCGAGGTTATAGCTCGTTTGGCCCTGTGGTTAGGGTGGCCTTGGAAAAAAGTTATAATTATATTTGGTCAACATTTGTGTCAAATAAATTTTAAAAATAATATTTTGAAATAATACTAATACATATTATCCCTTTGCACTTGAGAGGTAACTCTCACTCACTACCTGATTTCATACAGTAAAACTATAAAATTTGATATTTAATATTATACCTTGTACAGTAAAATAAAATAGCTCGGTTCCTCAATGTACGTATAATTTCTCTTCAAGTTAGTGTCACAAAATATCGTCTTTACCTCATCAGAAAATGTTAAAATATTTCCAGTGAAAAACTTCTGAGTGCATAGGTTTAAATATATAAAATACCTATACATTAGGGGTTGCATTGAAGACTGCTGTTCTTTGAACATCTATTTCTGTAACTAAATATTTGTGTACCTTAATTCAAGTATTCCCCCCCGAAATCGATAACCCTTTCCCATCTTCCTGGTAGAAGTTGTATTCCGTCACGAAAGAATGATTTGTTTGTATACTTAATCCATCGTCTAATCGAACGTTTGATTTCCTTGTAGTGTTTAAAAATTTTATCTTTCAATTCGTTTTGTATGATTGGAAAAAGATAGTAGCTTGTTGGGGACAGGTCCAAAGACTTCGCTGGGTGCGGGAGCATCTCCCACTTGTACTTCCTCAGTGCTTCTGCAAAGACTTCAACGGCACAGGATTGGTGTCTGTTATAAAGAAGAATCACTTCTCGATTTCTTGCAATTGACGTTCGTTTTTCGTGCAAACTGTCATTTAGACACTCCAGTTGTCGTTTATAATCTTCAGCAGTGATTATCTGAGAGTCTCGCGGTTTCAATACCTCGTAGTATATGACACCCTCCATGTCCCACCAAATGAATAGTCGTGCCTTTTGATAGTCAATGTCCATGTTTGCTGTTGAAGTTGATGGTTCTTCGGGGCCAACATGCCTTCTGCCTGTTACATCTATCGTCCACATGCCCCCGGTTACGATACGATTTAAGAAATTCTCTTTTCTATATCTTGCAATTAACGACATTGAAGTGTTCACTCGATTAATAATGGCAGATTTCGATAGTTTGCGTGGCAGCGATTCTCCTCTTCTTTTGACATTCCTCTTTCTCTGACGCGATTTTTCGAATTTTGCAATCGGTTTCATGCATATACGTAGGCCTTCATCAACCTCGAAGGCTTTCATCTGATCTGCTCGTGGCTTGTCGTTAAGGTTGAAATTATCACTGTCGAAACGTTTATACCAATCTTTACATGTTTTCAGTGCTGGAGCATAATCTCTATATTCGCGTTCGAGCAACTTGTGAGCTTTTTCTACAGGTAACTTCTTACAGTAATATTCTAGAAGTAAACATCGCCAAATTATCTTGGGTTTCACCATTTTAAGTTATGCACAAGCTCTCCGGTGAACTCAAAATGGCGCCTGATGAGTGAATTTTAGAGTAAAATGTCCGCAGTTGTATATCGTGTAAGAGATACTTATCATTGCTCACAGTGTACGCAGTTAGAGTTATCTACAAGTGGACAGTAGCTTTGAAACTAACCTCCAAATAGATAAAATATATAAAACGTACCTATAGGTGAAACATATAGGACTATGTAGAACACAGATTTTCTTTGTCTCACAGAAATGGAAACCTCGAGCAGTACAATTTTATTAATCGTATGCTGATTTCGCTTAGATGTGAACACTCCGCAGTGAGAAACGACAAATCACTGGTCGACACAATAACACGAGCATGATAATACGGTGCTAAATCTGCTGATAATATATCCTCGTTATTCAATAAGTAATTACTTGATTATTAGCGAACAATAATTGTCAGTATCGTTATTAAAAAGTGGCACATTTGAAGTTTTTAATTTTTTTTGTTTACGTCGTATTATACCGTTTGCTGCACACATGTACGGTTGACCCTCAATCGTTGCCCAATACACAAAAAAGCAAGCTTTACCTGTTTTTTTAGCATGATTGATGTAATATTTTCTCTGCAGAACATAAGAAGTTAGTATTAACTGTAATGTTTTTTTTTACAATTTTATTTTAATTATTAGTATATATCTACAATATATATTGCAAAAGGGTATATTATATATAAAAGGGTGGACTATATTCACATTTCGTGTAAATATTTTTAATTTATACGATTAATATTCAGTTTTATCGATTAATGCATGTGCAGTCGATGATGATCGCTTGCCTGTTGATGAATAATAAGAGCATAATTTAGAAAAATTGAAAAAGTTCAATCGATTGCTAAAACTCTTTGAATAGCAATTGAGCTTATTGAAGATGATCACACGATGCGAACAGCTGGAAAATCATTAAACATTCATTTTTCAGCTTCATAGTTCATTATAAAAAGGTAAGATAACTCGAAGCCGGTATGGGCAACATGTTACATTTCTAACTTCTTCAATACACAACAAATATTTAGTAGGAAAAAAGAGAAAAGATAAAATCAGAAAAATAAAAGTAAATTTTCTAAAGAAATGAAGGAAGAACAAAAAAAACAATTGATCTTTCTTAGTTTTACAATTTTTGTTATTCAAATCAATATAAAACTATATATTTGGATTGTACTGATAAGTAAATAACTTATATAATATTATTATTTGTTAGTTTATGAAACATTCATTCAAATGATTTGTGCTTGTTTTATAAACGAATGATTTTCTTGTTTCTGGTGCTGCTGATTATTACTAGATTCAAACGGTTATTATAACATTGGAATGCATGCTGACGATTGCGATTTGGATAAGTGTTGTTCGAATTGTCCTGCAAAAATGGTTAACTATAATTATCGTAATTAATTGTTGTTACTCTAATTTATCACTTTCGAGCAACTATACGCTATGTTTACATGTAATCTCATATGGTGATACTATAGAAGGAAACATTGACAGAATGTTTCACCAAGTAGACAACATTACTTTTTAATCGACAATGTACATGTTTACTCTCGAAGTTGATGGTTCATCAGGATCAACACAAGGCCGTTGGCTTTTAAAGTAGTCGGAATTTCCTGTTCTGTACTTTGCCATATGTCGCCACCATTTTTCTCTTCCTTGGATTTCTCTCCAAGTTTGTAGATGTCCTGAACTGACATATCTGTCAACTTTTCTAACTTTATGCGCCCTTTCGGTCTTTCTCATGGTTTGTACACGTCGTGGAGAATTAGATCTGTCAACTTTTTCAATTTTTCGTGTTTCTTTGGTCTTTCCCATGGCTTGTACACGTCGTGGAGCGGTAGATCTGTCAACTGTTTCAATTTTTCGTGCTTCTTTGGTCTTTCCCATGGCTTGTACACGTCGTGGAGAGGTAGATCTGTCAACTGTTTCAATTGTTCGTGTTTCTTCGGCCTCTCCCATGGTTTGTACACGTCGTGGTGAGGTAGATCTGTCAACTGTTTCAATTGTTCGTGTTTCTTCGGCCTCTCCCATGGTTTGTACACGTCGTGGAGAGGTAGATCTGTCAACTGTTTCAATTGTCGTGTTTCTTCGGCCTCTCCCATGGTTTGTACATGTTGTGGAGAGGTAGATATGTCAGTTATTTCAATTGTTCGTTTTTTTTCGGTCTCTCCCATGGTTTGTACATGTTGTGGAGAGGTAGATATGTCAACTGTTTCAATTTTTTGTGTTTCTTGGGGTTTTCCCATGGTTTGTGGATGTCGTGGAGGGGTAAACCTACCAGCTCTTTGATCTTTTGCTGGGTTCATTCCTATTATTTCCGTAGGTAATCGAGCGAAGTATGCTTGCAATCCTGCATGTTAGCTGTCACTTAGCTCAAAATATTTTTGGGGATGATTTTTCTCGATATGATAAATAATACTTTCATCTAAATCTTTATATAATAATTCCTCATCCAGTTTTACTATATATTCACTTTTGTTTATATAATACTCCATTTTAGGTTATGTAAAAATTCCCCTGAGATTTTTACTTTGTTACATCATAACTTTGTTTCTAACAAAACAAACAAAAAATATAATCAAGTGTTATATTAAGGTATATGTCTATTAAACAATAGTATACATTTTATTTACATAATCTATAACAGTTATTAAATAACACGATTTAAATAAAACTCTGTCTGATGTTCACGTTACTTTAGTATTCGGACACTTTTAGACATTACTTATTTTTAGGCTAATTTTTGTAATAATATGTGTTTTAATATCTTGTTAGATAGCCATTCGGCTGTATCACTTCTTTTAAACGTTGTGGCATATTGCTAATGATTTTTTTAAAATATTCAGTACTTATATTGTCCCATTCTTCTTTTAATCGATGTTTCAACATTTCTTTTGAAGATATTGTTGTTTTTCTAACACGTCGCTCTAATGCATCCCACACAATTTCAAGAGGGTTGAGGTCTGGTGATTGAGGTAGTGGTTGTAAAACTTTTGGGCAATTGTACAGTAAATATTCCAGCGCAATGCGTGCCTTATGTTTCGGGTCATTGTCTTGGTAAAACTTAAACGTGTTTAAAATTCCCATTTGTGTAGCACTTTTGTGTAAATTACCTTTTAATATGTTCAAATACACATTTTGGTCCATAATGTTTTCAATAAAAATTAATTTTCCCGGTCTAAATGTGGATATATAGGCCCAGACAAGTACACTGCCACCTCCGTGCTTTACAGTCACCCTTAGATTTTTACATTTAAATTCTTCATTTTTGTTCCGCCACGTCATCCTTCGTCCATCTGCCTCAGAAATGTTAAATTTACCTTCGTCGATAAAAATGATATCGTTTCACCATGTTTCTTCCTTCAAAACAAATTCTTTAGCAGAATCCAATCTCTTCTTCCGATTCTGTTCATTCACATACGGCCCCATTCACAATTCCAGCCCCGTTTAAGAGCAAACAAGTAAAAATCTCAGTGTCCGAATATTAAAGTTACTTACTGTATGTACAATCTAGAAATAGATGAAATATATAAAACTTACCTATATATAAACTATGTAGAACACAGAGTTTCTTAGTCTCACAGGAATGACAACCTAAAACAATCGTGTGCTGGTTTCGCTTAGATGTGAACACTCCGCAGTAAGAAACGACATACCTTTGCGCGCAATCAAACATCACTGGTCGAAATGATATCACGAGCATGATAATGCGGTGCTAAATCTGTTGATAATAAATTCTCGTTACTATATAAATAATTGTTTGATTATCGATAGGAACACGTCTACATAGCGTATTCTTTTGTTGCCCGTATTTTTTAGTGCGTGCTAGAAATAAGGAAATTTCGAATGAGCTGTGCTACTTCGATCCTGTGTACGATAAGTTAATGAACTTCAATGCAATCTGTGCTATCCATATCGGAGGGTATTGACCTTTTAACGGACCACCTCGTTATTGAAACTCATGGATCTCCTATTTCTGATGCTGTTGATTACTGCTGGATTCAAACGGTTATTGTGGCATTGGAATGCCTGCTGACGATTGAAAATGGCATCAGTGTTATCTGAAATTATCTTGCTGAAACGCTTATCTAAACTTATCGCGATTAATGGTTGTTCCTCGCTAATTATTACGTTCCACCTGCTATAAATATTACAGTTTTCACCGTACTGCTTCTTATAATATAGATAGCCGATGGAAAATTACGAATATTTGAATTGTTTAAATTTTATTAAATAATTGTTAAAATTGTTTGTTATTATGATTTTTACGATTTTTATATGATTCTTCAGTGTTAATGTCCGAAAGGGGGGTTGTGCCCAGAGGGACTCCTACGCTGGCCTTCGTAGCAGTACGCAAGTTGTGTATCGTTATTATTTAGGTCCATATATTTAAACATTACTTATTTTATTATTAACACTTTACCGAACGGTAGCCTATACATCGACTGTTTATTGTCGACGCTTACCAACCGGTAATCTATTAATCGGTTGTCATAGCAACCAATACTTTGTTTTCTATTATCGAGGTACAAGTGTTAGGTAGTACTACTTTAAGCTTGTATATTATTATATAATATTTTAAATATTAGATACCCTTTGTGAAATTAAAAAAAAAAGAAATAGAACATGTTTTGCTTGCAAATTTTGCAAGATGTTTCTGAAGAGAAGGAAAGAATGATTAAGGATGACGGTTAAAAGTGCGCACGAGTTGAGCGGCAGTGTAGTGTGATAGAAGACGGCATGACAGGATAATCGAAGAGAATATAAGCGAGAATAGTATAACGTATTTTAACCTTTTAGCTATGGCAGGACTAGCCGCCAGGGTATTGTACCTCTGTATGGCAATGTTTGACGCGGTCTGCGTATCATAAATGTAGCACTGCGATTTGAGACTTATAGGATTTTCCACTGCGTAGTTAAGTTAGATTAGATTATAATGCGCATAGTTATTAATGACAGAGAAAAAATTGTGCCGCTATAGTGGCGTACCGTTCAAAAAGATGATATATACGAAAGCTGTTATAGTGGCGTATTGTAGCTAAATGGTTCAAAGAATCTTCGGCGAATACACGATAGATGCACACTTGTTTTATTTGTTGATTGTTTAGTTCAATAAACTTTTGTTAATATTAAAGCCTGCTACGGTGACCCAATCCAAAACATGCACTATCGTATCATAAGAGAAGGGGTTAAACATTTTTCCACGCGAGACCGTGCTTTGTCCGAGCGAAATGAACTACAGGGAAAAGGGTAAAGCGACGCCAGAGTTTCAGGGAATCTGCTTCGCACGTGGAACTCGAGAAATCTGAATCGGGAACAAAGATGGGAACGCGATACCGGCGAGCAACGTCTTATTCCAGAAGACGGAATATAATTGTTAGGTAGATCGATGGCGCGGGAACGCACATACGCCATTAATGCAAATTTACGGCCGGTCTGTTTTCCATTTCCCGGCTTAATCGGTCGTGTCGGCATCGCGCAGTTTTTCCCCCCGCATTTTTCTTGTCACGCGGCAGGGGGTAGCGCGCGATTAAAAATCTCAGCATGAACCTACATCCTGCGCGATTTCACCTTGAAATCGCTTTAACGAAATACCTAGGCAGCCGTAAAAACACAGCCCTAAACAGTTACGCGATGCACGCGACGTTTTTCTGAGAAAGAAAATGTTGCGTACCGGAGATGTTGAATAATTAAACGCGAGGGTGGAATTGTGACGCGGTTTTTTCGACTCCGATCTCTCCTGGGAATGTACGAGATATACAGGCTTCGTGAATGCACGCTCGTCACTTTGAATTACCGTTGGCAAGAGGACAAAGGGGAATGTGTTTCAAATCTGCATTTCATTTTAATCGACTTAACGCTGAAACTACCACTTAAAATGACCCATTCTTGCTTTCTTCATTTTGCAATTATTAATAAGATAACAGATCTGTTCCTGAGGAATTATTAGAGAAATTGATTTGAATTCAAATTGAATTGTAAATCAATTAACGTCTCGATAGATGCACTCTTGAAGTTGCAATAGAGGAGTGTCAAAATATCTGTTTAACTGCTCGGTAGGTTTAGTGTTAAGAATAGTAATCTATAGATATAATTATTTAGTATTACAGTTGTGCTATTATTAGAAATTACATTTCTCATTTTAATATAATAATATTTAACTTAATAATAATATAAATAAGTATTATTGACAGTGACACTCAATTTTTAATGGTACAATATAATTATACCACTAAGAACAATCGAAAATACAGATACTTAATATGAAAACTATCGAGTAGTTAAATTGACCTTTTGAAATTTTCCCATAGAAACTCCAAGAGTATATGTATCGAGACTTTAATTAATTTATAATTCTTTAATAACTTCAATTTCTTTAATAACTTCTCAGATAAACATTTGTTATCATTTGAATAATTCCGAAAAGAATAAATCGAGAGCTGGTCATTTTTAAATAAATCGGCTAATAAAATGTTTTAATCATTCGTCTCGGTACACTAGAATATCTGTTCTGAATTCTTCAATAATATTCTGAATGCATAGATAAATCGTGGACCATAACAGGGCCAGACACACGATGCATCTTTTGACGAAGCAATATTCGACATTTCGTCGCGCGAACTGATTGAAGTGAAATTCCATTTCTTCGATTTCCTGAAGCAAGGGGGCTCTTTAAAATTGTCGCATCGGAGTTGAAGCGTCCCTACAGTGAATTATCTTCAAAATGGCGGTCGCCTGTAGTCACGGAGAAATTGCATTGTAACTGTGTACATGAAACGCGAAGATCATTTTCCTCGAGCGATGAGAGCGTTCATCGGCGTTTGACGTTCCGTAATTTTCTTGTTCACGAAACGATCGAAATCGCGTTACGCCATTTTCACGGAAACGTGATATTGAGTGACTATCCTCATTTGGAAACATGGAAAGTAGATGGATTTCGCAATTTTTTTCTTCGTTGCGGAAGTCTATTTAAATAAGGCGATTCCGGGTTAAATGAATGAATCAGTAAATTAATAAGTTTATTCAAGTTTCGTATGATTATATAAAATCGAAATGAAATTTCAGTGAAAATGATGAAATTATAAGATACGTTAAATCGAAATAGGTTAAATAAAGTGTTTAATATTTGGTAATAATTATGATTACGATTGCTGCATTGCTTGGACATGAAAACCTGGTATTTTCACAGATAACTATTCCTTTTTCTGTTGGTTACTTTGTTTTAATAATTGATAATAGAAGAATGGCATCTAATTTGAGTTCGAAAGAATCGAGAAGTATTCATGTTTCTTCAGTTCTATTTGAAATCTTCACCAAGTGTCTAATACGATATTGTAGGGCGAGGGGTTAAATACCATATTTCATCATTTTCCTCAAAGGCATCTTTAAAATGCAAAGGGTTGATAAGTAAATAAGTAATAATCGAATTTTATTATAAAAAAATGAGGTACTCTTCTAAATAATATCGGTACTCTTAGTTTCAATTATAAAATTCCTTATTAATGCAGAATAATTAGTTTTTCGTTAATTAATTCCTTGCCTTCGATTAATATACTTTAGGGGAAACTTGGACGTAGGATGTTTCTAGAATTTTTCTCTTTTTTTTCAATAAATTATTAACACATTAAGCGCCACGAAAATCTTGAGCGTGTTTCCGTAGAGTTTTTCGTTTGTAACAACGAAAGGTAGAAACAATTATCAATTATTTGGCGCTCATCCTTGCATAACACTATTATCAATTTAGTTACTTTATTAAACATTTTCATTCGACATCGTTATCTTGTATGTTACGATTGTTTTCTAGTCATTCAGAAATATCAGTTACCACTTACTGACATGGCGCTTGACAAAGTAGCTAGATCGACCTTAATTGAGATAGAAATCGTAGGGCAAGGGGTTAAGTAGATTCCCTGTCCCGTTCGCGTAGAACACATTTTAACCAGTGCTACGGTGGTACGGGGCGAGCGAATATTTTTATTTACAGAAACAATATTTGTGGTATCCACGGGCAGACAATGGAAATTTAAAGCGACCCCCGGCGGTCCACCGGAAAGCGTCTCGATGGTCCATTTGAACGTTGTTTTTCCAACATCCCGACTCCGTGAAAACACGCTGTGATCAAAAGTTACTGCTTTCGGTCGAGCATTTCAACGAGCCCGAAAAAATCCTGTCGGTTTCAGAAGCATTTGAAAACTTCGTCCTGTCGCCTATCCTCGCAAATCGCTACACGACTCTACAATATAGAGATTCTGAGGATAATACAGTTTTCTTCGATTTTCTCAAATATTTGTTACAGCGTTTCGATTGAGCTATCTATTTTTAAAATACTCTGAAGATATCGATAATTGCGAAATAAGAAAACTTTTCACTGGTACGGTAGTTCTAGTGTTAACCCCTTGCCCTGCAATATCGTGTCAGACTGATGGTGAAGATTTCAAATAGAATTTAACAAACGTAATTATTATTCAATTTGTTGTCAATGATTATACCTTAAAGCAGACATTTGCATGGAATAAGACGGGAATTTTTTCTTACTTTCAATCAATTATTTATTCATAACGAATTAGTTAGATCGGTCACAGTTCAGAAAGGAATCATAGGGCGATGGGTTAACACTAAATTTACTGGACGGGTCGAACTGATCTACTTCAGAATGTTTATTTTGCAAATATTTAAATTACAAGGGCGTTTGTACGAAAGATTTTAAATTTGTGTATTTGTACAGATACAAGACTAGAAGAGCGTTCAAATCTCATTAGATGTGTTCTAATTTTTATAAAAAGTTGGAAATAACCAACATACATACATTACGTACCAATCTACTGGCATCTTGTTGATTTATTCCATTTTGCATAGCAAAGTGGCTAATAAAATTAAGTAATTAATTCACTTAAACTTTTATAACTTGAATGTTCAACATCACCATCAACTACTGAATACACTGTTAATTTATATTTGCAGATTGATATTTGTTAATTTTGTACTACAGTGTTTATAGTCACGAACAACAATTCAGTCTATATAGGGTTAACTGAGTTTAAAATGAATAGTGTGTAGACCTATAAGTTGACAGAATAATAATTTCTCTGTCCTTCTGTGCGAACTTTCTCAAACGTTTCTATTCGTTTGATTATCCTTACACGTTCTCTATTAGAATTTGAATTTGAATTTGAAGCTTCTCTGTCAATTTTGCTTCAAGTAGTTAATGTTTATTCTGTATACGATCTTCCTAACAGGTAGTAATTGGACAGTTAACAAATCATATCGTTAGTGACTTCGTTCCAAACCAAAACAAAAGAAAAGCGACGATAGTCTAACAATTAAAAAATCCTTGTTCGCAGAGTTAAATTCTGTCTCAACGGTTTAATGAGTTGAATATGAAGCATCACCGAAATGCAAATCGCGGTCCCGTTATAATGGCCGTTCCCACTCGATACGATTTACCAGTTTCAGCCG